CAGGCACACCCCCAGAAGGGTAGGGTGGGGGGGGGGGGGGGGGTGGAGAGGTGGGTGCAGTCCGCATATACCATATGCATAAGTGCCATATGATTCACCTGCTCAGGACCGCCTCCCCAGAAGGCAAGCACAAGGACCCATTTTAAGAGGATGTTTTCCCCCCCAAACATCTGAGAATGCTTCAACTTAAAGCTTAAGGTTAAAAAGGAAAAAAAAAAAAGAGAACCCCACAAACCACCCAGCCATAACCACCTTCCTTAATCAATCATAGGAGTTTCTTTTCATTTTATAAAAAGATTAATAAAAAATATTGAAAAAATTATTTTCTCATCTTATATTTGTAAAGATAATAGAATTCAGAAGTTTCTTAGAAAACAGACCAGAAACCGTCACCGTTCCCACCACTGTTGCTGAGATCAGTGGGGCTAGAAAACTGGGACACCGGAGCTGCTGGTGGAGAATGGGAGGCCCAGCCCAGAAGAAATCAGAAAATATTGGGGGAGGGGGCACGTGGGGTGTGGTTAGGAGCAATACCATGTGATACATGGCTACGCAGAAAAGGGGAACACAAGGTGGTCAGAAAAGCCTTGAACTCCTCCTCTACATACAAAACCAATTTTTACAAAGATCCAAGCAGTTGGTCCCAAACTGAGATGAACACTTCAATGTTTATTCACATGCTTTGTTTTCTCTTTTAAGAATCAGAATCAAAGTTGTCCAAATTAAATCTTTCTGCTAATGTTACTATATATGCCTAAAAAAAGAGGGCTTTAAAAACCAGGAAAAGAAATTAAAAATCATCAAATTAGTCCTCTTAGCTCCAAATGAAATGAAATTAAGAACAAAACTGGTTTCTAATAGGGAACAAACCAAAATCCAAGTATCGCTCTCCCCTCCCTGCCCCAGTCCCCACCCCACACTCCAACAACAAATGAGAAACACAGCTAAAGCCCAATGTGCTGTGTTCTGCTCAAAAACTGGGCCTGACCCCAGGCTCCATGGTCAGCCGCCTCCGTCAGTGGGACACTGCGCCAGGGATGCTTTCGGCTACAGTAGCATTCTGCATGGCTGGTGGGGGGATTTTCAGAATCTTCTTGGGGCTCTTCTGTTTAGTTCTTCACCAGCCATTTCCTAGCGCCTGTCCCCCTGGGTAGGAGCTCCCATCAGAATGGCCCCTACTCAGTGGTGGGCTGTAAATTGTCCTTCTCTTCTCGGTTCTCTGTCCCACTCTCGTCGTCTTCAATCTCCCCTTCTTCCCCGCTGAACTTGTCATGGGCCCATTTGGGGCTGGTGCTGGATTTCCGGAACATGAACCTGCCTCGACCTCGGGGAAAGGCTCCTCGGCCCCGGCCCCGACCTCCCCACTTCTCACTGCCTTCGCCTTCACGGTCGTCATGCTAGAAGGAAAGAAAACTGCCATCAATGCCAGAGTTAACAAGTAGCCAGAACCCTCTTCTCTGTGCCTACCCCCAAATGTGACTTTCTCAAACCTATGTCCGGACCCCCTTTTCTGTCCTCCTCCCTATTCCCCACTCCAAAGACACTACTGATTCAGCTCCAACAGAATATTCAGTTTGGTACATTGGGAATGCTAAGGCAGTAGCTTGGGCATTAAAATAATGATGATGATATAATCTTCACTGAGCACGGAAAGACCTGTACATGCATTATCTCATTTAATCCTTACATCTACCCTATCATCATCACCCTCCACTATGCAAATGAGTAAACAGGCTTAGGAACTTTAACTCATTATTTATTTAGTACACCACCTCTCAAACGATGGGTTTGAAAATGCCAATCACACCAAAATATTAAACTGTGTCTGATCTGGGTTGTCAGGCAGCTAACAGAAGAAGCAGCGCTCAAATACACATAGCTACGCTACAGTTCTTCCCACCCACCCTCAGCCAATTAAGAACAACTGGTTTCTAATAGGCAACAAACCAAAATCCAAGTATCGCTCTCCCCTCCCTGCCCCAGTCCCCACCCCACACTCCAACAAATGAGAAACACAGCTAAAGCCCAATGTGCTGTGTTCTGCTCAAAAACTGGGCCTGACCCCAGGCTCCATGGCCAGCCGCCTCCGTCAGTGGGACACTGCGCCAGGGATGCTTTCGGCTACAGTAGCATTCTGCATGGCTGGTGGGGGGATTTTCAGAATCTTCTTGGGGCTCTTCTGTTTAGTTCTTCACCAGCCATTTCCTAGCGCCTGTCCCCCTGGGTAGGAGCTCCCATCAGAATGGCCCCTACTCAGTGGTGGGCTGTAAATTGTCCTTCTCTTCTCGGTTCTCTGTCCCACTCTCGTCGTCTTCAATCTCCCCTTCTTCCCCGCTGAACTTGTCATGGGCCCATTTGGGGCTGGTGCTGGATTTCCGGAACATGAACCTGCCTCGACCTCGGGGAAAGGCTCCTCGGCCCCGGCCCCGACCTCCCCACTTCTCACTGCCTTCGCCTTCACGGTCGTCATGCTAGAAGGAAAGAAAACTGCCATCAATGCCAGAGTTAACAAGTAGCCAGAACCCTCTTCTCTGTGCCTACCCCCAAATGTGACTTTCTCAAACCTATGTCCGGACCCCCTTTTCTGTCCTCCTCCCTATTCCCCACTCCAAAGACACTACTGATTCAGCTCCAACAGAATATTCAGTTTGGTACATTGGGAATGCTAAGGCAGTAGCTTGGGCATTAAAATAATGATGATGATATAATCTTCACTGAGCACGGAAAGACCTGTACATGCATTATCTCATTTAATCCTTACATCTACCCTATCATCATCACCCTCCACTATGCAAATGAGTAAACAGGCTTAGGAACTTTAACTCATTATTTATTTAGTACACCACCTCTCAAACGATGGGTTTGAAAATGCCAATCACACCAAAATATTAAACTGTGTCTGATCTGGGTTGTCAGGCAGCTAACAGAAGAAGCAGCGCTCAAATACACATAGCTACGCTACAGTTCTTCCCACCCACCCTCAGCCAAGAACAGACAGCAAGACCAAGAGTCAATGGAGTTGCTCATGGTCTCAGACTTAGACTTAGTGGCCAAGTTAGGACCAGAATCCAGTTTCCTGTCTTGTATCTTCCATCTTTAGTTTTATTTAAGGAGGCAGTGTGGCAGAGTACGAAAAACACAACCTACATCTCAAACAATCCTGCTCTGACCATTTCACCAGAGAGGAGGCATCCAATGAAAGAATGAATGAGAATTTTGAAAAGTAGGAGTCGTTGCTAAGTCATCAGCCCCATGGCTTCAAAGAGTCTGAAACACCCACCCATGCAATAGGGGTAGGCTCCTGGGGGTCAGCCAATTAAAGGGCCAGCTGCTTCCTACCAGGGTTGCTTGTTTACTTGGTTAAATGCATCAGGTGGGTGATGCTCCCTTAGGTGGCATGTAGGGGCAGGAAAAAGGGCTCCCACTATAGCAATCCCACTCCAGGACCTATCCTGGCTGGGCCCAGTCAACATTTCCCTAAATATAGACTCAAGGGTCCTCGAGGAGTCTCAAATCAGCTCCCAGCAGCCCCAGAAAAGGGAAGGTGGCTGTGCAGAGCCATCTACACAATAGCCTGTTTCCTAGTTGTGCAAATGACAACTCAGACCCATGCCAGCCCTTCTCCTAGACGATGGAGACTCAGCTCCAGGTTTCCCTTGATCACAACACTCAGAGGCACATCTCTCTGCTTGGATCTAAGCCTGCTGTTGACATAGCAAGGCCAAGAGAGTTCACTCACTAGCCAGGTAATTCAGCCTAGAAGAGCCCGAACCTGAGGGAGGGGAGCGAGGTGCAGAAGGTGCCTGGTAACCGACACTGACAAACAGCCTAGATGAGAAAAGCCCCAGTGGCTTTTCATTTTGGAGACAGAGATCCTGAGCAAGTGTCTTCCTGTCAATCTTGCACCAGCAAGTGACCGAGTGGAACTGTGGCTTAAAGGAAGGGTTACAGCTCTATCCCTGAGTAGAGACTGAAAGGAGGCCGAGACGGGGGTGGGTGAGCAATAAAACAAGTCACAAACTAAAAAGGGAAGAGCAACCCTTCTTGTTTATCCTAGAATCCATCTATATCTCAGGTGATAAACCCTTGAGAGGCCAGGGCTGCCTCTTAGAGAATACTCATCGTGCCAGCACTCTACTGCCCCTCGACACATCCCCCCAGTGCAAGATGCCTCCTCACATATTCAATCAGTTCTGAACAGACCGAACATACCAACCAAAGCCTTGGTATCAACTACTATGTGTGCCAAAGGCCCCGGCCCTTCCTGGTTATCCCGACACATACCAGGTAATACTTCTTGCTCTTGGGCGTGTATTCGGGGTCCCACTCCTCTTCTCGGCTTCTCTTTTGAAAATCATTGTTGCTGCTATTGTTGTTGTTGCCAGAGTAGTTGCCTCTGCCCCAGCCCCTACCTCTGGCTCGAAATTGCTGTGGCATAAAGAGGGGAAAAGGAACAAAGGACCATGTCAGGGATGGAGAAAAACAATGCCCTGCATTCTGTTCAAACACGTTTCTGGCACAGAACAGTTGTCCTGCAGTCAATATGCAGGTCCCCTGGTTTATAGTCAATCCTTTCCTGTTTACCTAAGGTCTACAGCCTAGACAGAGGACAACATGGCACCAGGGCCTCCAGGCACAGCAGGAGTCAAGGTAAGTTGGAAAGTTCTGAGACTAGGAGTCCTAAGAGGCTTTCTGGTATCTAGCTCAGGGATTATGATTAGTAAAATAACTACAAGTGGAAAGCCTAGGTAATGGGGAACCACAGATTCTGAGGTCTGTAGACTGGATTACTTATATTAAGGGCAACCAAACTGGCATTCTGATAATCACATAATTAGAATTGGTGGGAGCAAGAGGTTAGAGAGAAGGGGTGACGGCAGGGTCTTACAAAGGTCCCTCGAGCTCTGCCTCCTCTTTCATTTGGACCCACAAAGTCTTTGGTCCCCAGTCTTGATTTGTCAAAGCCGGTGGTGCTCTCCTCTCTCTCCTCCGTTTCTTCAGTGTACTCCTCCGCTTTGTAGGAGTGGGATGACTGGGAGGAAGAGGATGATGACCTGGACCGGTCTCGTGTTCTCCGGTGCTTCCTATGAAAACAGAAGGGCCAGGAAAAAGCAATAAACCCCTTGGCTGGGCCTCCTGAATAAGCAGCACGGGACAATCAGGAATGTGTTTGTGATGACGGCATTGATGAGTAACCTAAAAAAACCCCAATTCATCCCACCTTACCCACCCAGGGTACCTGGGGAGATCCCAATTCTGTCAGTCATGTTCACTGACACATCTACACTTGAGCCTGTGATGAACATAG